AAGTACATATTCCGTTTTCATATCGATGCGCTAATATATTTAAAACATTTAGTTTATCAGAAATAAATAATTGTTTTCTAATAATACTTAAATGAAATAAACATTGTAATGTAGCATTGGCATAGCATGAAACTTTGCCAGTATTTTGAAAACCACGTATAACCCAAGAAGTAGTACTTTGTCGAACTTTTTCATCTGACTGTTACTATTTTCATTAATGTCCATGGCACATCTTTTTGTATTCATAATTTTACGATAACTCTTTTGAAATAGTAATAATAATTTGTGCTTCTGGTTCATGTAGTCGTTTAGCCGATTATATTTAATAATTGCTTCTTCACTAATTATTATAGATAAAGAATCATAATTAATCAAATACGCATTAAGGTTCACTCTTTCGTTGCTAATTTTACTGTAATTTTATATTAAAATTAGAATTTTATGAAGGCATTGTGAACAGCAGCTTAATGGACAAAACGCTTTATGTATGTTACACGTACGACTGAAAAAATTTGAAAAGCTGAAATGGTCCCTTTTTGGGAAATGATCTCCAGATCTCGATATCGGCTGCATCAATTTTATTCGGACTGATCGCAATCGAAAGATACCAACGACATATAATAAAAGTGTTTTTAGATTTTTGATTGCGGCTTTAGTTTCCGAGTAATTTATATCTAAAGCATATAAAAATTTAATACGGGCCGCTTGACCGCTTAACGTGTGAACGTCATTGCGTATATATTCGTGCCGTTACCAAATTCGCGAGGCTATAAACGGCATGAATATACGTATACGTAATGATGTTCACACATCAAGCGGCCTGTTTTATATTTTTATACACTTTTAATTTAAAAGTAACTTATTAAAGTATTAAAGTGACTATACAGTGAAATGTCGATACAATAATACAGTGCTAATGAAACTATAGATAAATAAGTCGGTAAATGACAGCAATAAACGAGTGCCATCTACCGTCGAAAATATGAAAAGGAGATGACTTTTTGAGGCGACGTATTTTACATAAAATTTTGACATTTCGGATTTCGCATCACAATATCTCCGTTCGTGGGACACGTAGAGGTAAAATAAACGTTTATTATATAATTCGGACCCAAACTGTCGATGCAGCTCATATTCAGAACTTGATCGGTTTAGCCTTTATTAAAAAAACCGAGAATTTCGGATGCTCGGATGCCCGCAACTCGCTGACTCGCGTAAAGACACGCGTGTCTCGCGCTGCGCGCCCACTTGGCGCGAGACACTACCGTGTCTCTTTAAATATTTAAATTTTATAGTTATTCGAAAAAAATAAATAACATTTCAACATTAAAAAATAAATAATATTCTTAACTAATTTTGTGTGTGTGCGTGTGTGTGTACGTGTTAGAGAGAGAGAGAGAGAGAGAGAGAGAACTAACGAGAACTAGCTAGTTTGTACATATGTATTGATCAAAGTATCGAATTGTGCTTTTACACTTGAAAAAATATTCTTTACATAAGATTATAATTCACAAAATACATAATGCCCATATTTAACGAATTTGCTCGAATAGCGCATAGGTCCGTATAAACGTTTATGAGCGTTCCAAACATAATTATGGACACAACTACATGTTAAATGTTATTGACTCCGTAACAAACAATGGTGTCAAATAAACTAACTTTTTATTAAGATGGATTTTTACTTTTCGATATCTTGATAAGATAATGATTTGACAAATTATGGAGTTTTATACAGCAGACACCCGAGTTACAGTTAAACGCGCACATACGTATTGGAAACCACCTTTTCTCTTCTGCGATATTACGTTCTTAAGAAAGTAAAATAATATAAATAATATAAAATTTAAAAAAGTCATCTAATACAGATTATTATTATTGCAAAATTATTATCATTTTCATCATTATTATTATTATTATTATTGTTATTACTGTCATTATTTATTATTATTATTATTACAGATTAATTTCAAAGTAGATTTTATAAATCGAAAATGATTAATAACTCAAAGTGTAGTATGACGGTAATAATACAAATACAATCGAATTTTGCATCGACATTAGAGTAAGACCTAAAATATAAAATTTGGTCTCAAGTGTCAGACGCGAATGCGCTGATTAATGATTAAAGTTACAGTAAGTACACTTCATTCAATTAGGTATAAGGTAAACTTGGACAAGATGATTGTCATCAAAATGCAAAAAACATACTTTAATTTTTGTTATCTTTAATAATGTTATATTGGTATACCTTTTCTGTATGGTGGATATAACACTATTAAAAATAACAAAAATTAAAGTATGTTTTTTGCATTTTAAAGATGGTCATCTTATCCAAGTTTACTCTAGATATTATGTTTAATATACATATACGTATTACTTAAAAATAATAACATAAAACTTAACACCATATATATACACTCCATGTAGGAGTAATACTGTTTATAAACGATATAGGAAATGTTACTTTTTTTATTTTTATGCACTTAATTAATGTATTTAAAATACAGAAAAAATATATATTTGTCATATACATAGTAGAAAATAATTTATCCAATTACATATGGAATATTTTTATCTATCACTTTTACGATATCAACAGCTCCAATTATCTTGCGTGATAGAATTTTTACATAATTTATTATATCTTTTTAAAAGACAAACATATTCTTTACACAAATAAGCCAGTTTAACTGCAGTACAAAGAATTATAAAGAGTTTGAAAATTAAATATATAGTTTTTCAGTTAAAGAGTTTATGTTTTATATATATACTATATATATATATATATATATATATAATATAT